ATAATTAGAAAATATGCCTTAATGAAAAAGTGAAAAATTCAACACTACCCCGGGGATATTAAGTTTTAATTTGTAATAATAGTTATGTAAAAACACCTCTGTACCATGAAGAGTGCTGCTAGAATCCTACTGTCTTATCACAGAAATAATTATTAAACACTTTCGGACGAAACTTTCCCAAAATTTTTACATTTTGATCATAACATCGAAAAAAATGCATCAATTCCCGTAAACCATACGATTCTAGCAGCACTTTCCAAAAACAATAGAATAAGAACTTTAGATGTAAACAAAATTAAGTTTCATGGTATGCGGCGTAATGTTGAACTTTTGCATCTTTTTGTTACAAACGACAGAGGAAAGGCTGATCGGCAAGTAAAGACCCTCCCTGCTTTAATTTTACGAAGAAATTGAAGAATTATATTAACATACCTTATTCATAAGCTTTATTCCCACATTAATCACACATGATATTCCTTCTTAATGCTTTTAAACTCCGATTTCTAGTGTTTGTTTAAATTAATTTTCGTAACGTTTCCTTTTCACTCTGCTACTGCATGATCAACAGTTATGACGTCACGGGTTTGGTATTTAACCCCTGTGATAACTACAGAGGCCCAGAAACGACAAATTTCCGTTTACATTATGCCTATGCATATTTTGATTCATTTTTACGACCTCAAATCAATCTAAGATATCGATTTTAAAAAATTGTCATCTCTTAACCTCACGTCATATAGCTTACTATGACGTCATATCATATAGGCAAGTAGAATATTTGGTTATTACCTTAACCTACCTGCGAAGCAATGCGTATCTATAACTGTATAAATACAGGTACGGGATCAAGAGGTCATAGATGTGCGTATAGATAATCGTTCAAAGTAATTTCTCAGTGACGTCATAAAATGTCGACGTGCGTCGAGAGGATAATATACATGCCGTTGGGTTTGAAAAATAATGCATTTCACACGTTAAAAGTCACAATCAGCCAAATTTAAAGTATGAATAATTCACAAATGTAAATATAAATAATAAGGTATCATTTTATCATTTTATCGAGATAAAATTCATCATAAAGCCCTTCGGACTCTATGGAATTTAATCTCGTGACCAATACGTATTTAGGTATATCCCGATAGATGTTTAAAAACGATACCTTATTTCTTAAATAAAACTTTTTTTACCGTGCGCCGTAGGGCAATACTCCGTGCACATTCAAGCATAATAAAATTTTTATTTTTGCCTATATTTTATCAAAAAAATTATAATGCACTTAAATATGATAAATAAAAACATTTACTGAAATATTCAGCTTAGTGTGCCTATTATTTTTCGAGAAAAACGCTTTGACCATTTACGGGACAACCCTCGTATATCTAGATTTCTGTTTATAATACATTGTGTGTATAGTTATTTCCAGATCGAACAATTACTATTGCCAGTACAAAATGTATTATTCTACCTACTAATAGACAGGATGTAATTTACGTTGCGTAATCTATGTTGACGTCCTATTGATAAAATGTAAGAGTCAAGCAGTATAGATTCTTTTTATGAAATTAATTGATTTTATGTTACCGTATATACTCGCCTATAAGTCGGTCCGCTTATAAGTCGGTTTCATTTTTTGACGTTGTTTTGATGGGATTTGCTAGTGACCCGCTTATAAGTCGGTACAATTTTTTGGTCAAAATCGGTGCCAATTTCAAGCAAATCCATAGATTTTTTAGGTGGTTTCAATCAATATTTTCGAAATGACACTGATTTTAAAGATTTAATTATTTAACAAAAAGGCAACGCTCACTCAAAATACAAATAAATTTATCAAGATATATAAATACTTGTACTTTATATGTAGAATTTAAGAATACACATCTTATCATATATATCCCGACATTTTCTTCGACAATCGTTGGAAATGCAGATAAAATACAACTTTCACACCTCCAGAATAATACCAATCCCTTTATGGCTCGCCTATAAGTCGGATATAGAGTTTTAGTCCAATATTCAACTCCCAAAATACCGACTTATAGGCGAGTATATACGGTATGTTTTTGAACTGTATATGACCATCTACCGCTTCTGACTGAACGGCATGCCTGCTAAAGCTGTTCAACTACGGATTTCAACGTCGAAAAAAACTATAAAATATCAGTCCTAATCCAATTTTAAAGGTTAAAAGTTCATGTAGTTATATCTTTAAAATAAATTTTGTTTTAATTCAAATGCTCTAGATCATATGTTAGCTTACGTTTTATCTCAGATAAAATAGATATCAAAAACATAAATTTAGACAAAATACAGGGAAGTATTTTTAAATTTTCCTAGTTGGAGTCTTTTTTCTATCAAAAATCATTCATATATTCAAAAGTTTAAGTATTTTATGGCTAACTTGGGTAGTCAATTATGGTGGCATATTTATGCCATCCACATAACTTTTTGCTAACATAGCATATCATGTCAAATCAAGATAACTTTCTCGTCAAGTCATGATAACTATCTGGTTTTTCGTCAAACACCGACTTTTATCTTGAACAGTCAAGATAAGCTACATGTATCGTAATTTTACGATAGCTATCTCGCCAAAACCAGATAATTTATCTTGTTTCGCGATTAAATTTTATCTCGTCATGTCAAGACAGCTTTTGCAAGAAAACGTGATAGCTTATTTTGACTTGACAAGATATAAAGTCGGATTTTGTCCACAAACCATGATGACTTGACAAGATAGTTATCGTGACTTGGCTTGAAATGCGATGTTGACTAAAATTATGGGGATGTCATTAAATATGCCACCATAGTATCTACGCTGTGTCCCCTGTAATCGACGTTACAGTATTGATATTCGGTGTTTCTCTTTTGATGTTAGCTTTAACAAATCTGTGTATTTGGTATTACATTGAATACGATTAAAATTAACTTTTCATTTATTCAGTTCCTAATAATGATGAAACTCAAAGTTCTGTTTTAACTTAAAAGATGAGCGAAAAAAGAGTTTTTGTAATGAACAATTGGTGTTATACATTAATTGATTTGTGGTATCATAAATAATTTGATTTGTATTATTATAAATACTTTAAATTGATTAAGTTTAGGACATTTTCCGAAGGAAAGTAGTTCAATTTATTACAAAATACACAGTTTCTTTATTTTTATTTTTATTAATTCTTATGAAAAATTCTCAGGTTTATCGTTAATGTAAATGTGGCAACGTAATTTACCTGTAATTTTGATGGATTTTACTTATAGATTCATATCTTTTACATTTATTTTACCCGTGTGAACAAACAGGTGAAATACAAAGTTATAAAATAAAACCAGAATCTTAAAGATAAACAACAAATTTTTTTTCACAAACTCTGCTTGAAAATATCAAGTTGTGTGCTCTTAAATACTGAAACTGATGAAAAATTCTGTTCAAATTTGTAAACCACATTTTCGGAGCCAAATGTTATTTTGATAAGGATAAGGCTAATAGCGTAACTAGAGGGCTCTTAAGTATAAAACCCGGAAAATCCCTTCAGGACCCATGGATTCACACAAAATAGTGATTAATAAAAATACGCAATTTTGTACGCATTTACATCACATAAATTCCTTTTTATACGTAAATGAACTTATTCTGAGAATGGGTGTGCTGCCTAAGTAAGGGGAGTTAACGATAGCAAAATTAAACTCATCACGTTTAATATAAAGCTTGCTTGTAAGATTACCATGAACGTCATATATAAGCAAAATATCCAAATATGATACAGGTGTGTCTTGCTCTGTGGTATCTTTTATCTGAAGCTCACCGGTATATATTTCTTCACATAAGGATGGAAATTAAAATGGTAAATTAACAATATGTTGTCGATATATCTAAATCTAGAGTTGAAGGTCACAGTTTTCTTTTCACACATGGTATTTTGTATAAATTTTGTTTCAAATGAATAAAAATTGGTCTGCTTATAACGGGGCACAATTGACCCATGGGAACTCTAGATTAAGAAAAGGATTGAACAACAATACAAGCATAAAACACTGTCGGGAAAAAATTAACTAAAATTTATTAGGTTATCAGGCCAAAATATCATAAACTTGGAATATACATAATTTAGTTTAAAATTCAAATCAATCTATGTACATTAACTGTGTTTTTCTAGCAAGCCAACGGTGAAATTAATTTGAAAATCATTTTCATGTATATTGTATATTCAACGTAGAAATATACATGCAGAAAGGTGCGCTTACCTGACGTCACAAAGAGGCTACAGAGAAAACGATATATGACGCTTCATGAGAAATGCCAACATGACAAGTCTGTGTGACTTGCACACCAATAACTCACACTAAACTTAAAACATTCCCTAAATAACTTTTGAAATAATTTTGATATCAAAACAGAACTTTTGTTTATATTGAAATATTTTACAAACCTGCATATTTTTGATATGCATGTATTAAAAATGACAAGCTATTCAAAATCAAAATTTTGACTTCAGTCTGTGTTTAGTTTATGGTCTCAAGCTCTGGGTAAAACTCTAGATTTTTGGGGAAATATAAACATTTAACAAGAAATCACAAGAACCCCTTGAATGTATTGATTCCTGGTTGCTTATTATCTATAACTGTGTTATTTGTTTATTTGATTCATGGAAGCAGATGGTATCATGCATGATTTTAAATTGAAGATAACATGATCCTTGATTTAAATATACTAAAATATAAAGGAGAAGGGCAAGTTTTGCTGAATGACAGATACTAACTATACAAAATATACAGTACTTAATAGCTAATGTCTGTCATATACACCAAGTCTCTCGTGGCAGCTATGTCCTGGATTTTAGTGAAACATTCTGTATTGAAATATTTTGACCACTAGATTTTAGAGTCACGTGATTGAGCAATCTACCTTTTTGATTTCAATGTGCGGAAAATTGAAAACTTTTTTTGTTTTGCCTTTCTAAAAAATCACCTTTAATATTGAATATTTTCCCTTAAAATAAACTTACCGTTGAATGTCTTCATGTAGTCCACATAATTTTGTGATGTGTTCCACTCCCGTACCACGATCGTTACAGTTTTCCATAGCATAACATCTTCCACAGTGTACTGGTCATCATTAACCCGTATCCAACCACTGGATTGAGAATCCTTAGTGATTATTATAGCATTGCGGGTTGTTGATATATTGCTCCATGTAAATATCAACTGTCCATTCATAAATTTTGACGATATCCTAAAACCTTGACCTGAAGTAAATAGATATACATGTACATGTATGTGTATTAATTTCCGTAAGATGTTGTTGTTTATTTTCATGGGGTTGGAAGGTGTGGAGGGGGTGAACCAAACAAAAGTAAGGAAGGTTTTAGTTTCGTAATGTCTGACTTAATGTTCCTTTAGTAGATCCAACAAATTGTTGCCTTTTTTACCTGAACACTACTCGTTAAAAGCATAATCCACCATGTTTCCCATTCATCGACGCAATTCCTTTCAATCCCTTTATAAGGAGCAGATCTTGTAAATGTATTTCGCCGTAGAGGTCAGACGGGTGTAGACGTATATCCTACACTACCGTGCTACTCGGTCGCGATGGAATGATCAAATTGTAGGAATTTTCTCCAACACAAGGAGAAAAGTCTTATGAAAAATACAAATCAATAAATTTCAGTAAAACTCGTTTAGAACGAACACGGATATTGCAAATTCTCGGGTGTGGTGAAGTCATTTTGGGTTCCCTCTACAATTTAGAAATTTCATTGATTCACATACTTGAGTCTCCATTAACAGTTGAGGAACCAATTCGGCGCACACATGCGATCTTCTGAAGATTTATTTGTAAGTTACGGACAAAATCCTCATCATATTCAACAGAATTGACAATCTTATATCCACGGTTGACAGTGACAGCGACTTTTGCTGTAACAATAGCAGTTTGTCCGTATGGTTTGTACTGAACATTTTCGGAATCTCGGACACCTGACAACTTACAGCGGACTGCGGACTTTTCATTTTAGGGAGCATGTCAAAATAAATAATTAGAATGTTACGTTTATATTTCATTGAACTCGATACTAAAATTTCCTTTTCATTTGCACGAGTTATATCAACAAATACATTGCATGGAATGTGTCGTCTCTTTCCTTGAAGACATGTCTAGTAGTGTAAAATCGTATAACGAGAATAAATTATCTATACGATAAACATGCTTCAAAACGTATTTCTAAACGGTCCCCGAAAGTACTCATTTGTTTACAGTCCGCTGTCCGTAGTACGATGTCAGGTGTCTGAGATTCCGAAAATGTTCACTACTCGGGGACTCGATCAAAAAAGACTTCGCTAAGATAACTCTCGTTCCATTTTTTTACTAAAGATCTTGTGTTGTTTTTATTTTTTTGTTCTTCTGTATTTATTTAAAGTCCCCTAAGGTGTCATTACAACATCTTAACTCAATGAACTGCTCTCCGGTGCGCCGTAACGTCATCAAACGTGGCGTTTTTTCGTGTGTTGTGTTTATCACCTTCCCATTTCGAATGCTCGGTAAAATGTCAAAAATTTACCAAATGCCTTGAATTTTTTTAAAAGACGTGAAAATGGATTATGGAATCGAATTATCGTAATTTTTACCTCAATCTTACCTATTAAACTTTTATTTCAAATTAATATTCTTGTTTTCTTTGATAAAACTTTGGCGTTTTGACAGCGCGTGCGCCGTAGGACATACTCTACGCACATTCAAGCATAATGCCATCTTTATTTTTGTTTGTATTTACTTTGTATTTTATCTAAAAACATATGATGCACTTTAATATGATTGATAAACATTTACTGAAAATTTCAGCTTAGTGCGCCCATAATTATTCAAGAAAAACGCTTTTTTCCAGACAACCTCGTATATGGAGATAACAAACAGTATTCAAGCTCAAAAGTCCCTTGCATGTTACACACATATGAAAGAGCAAGCACAGACCTCCAAAATATCAGAGGTGGGCTCAGATGACATGGAGAAATGAACATCCCTTGCTGACCTGTTTCCGTCGTGTGTTCTTTGTCGTGATCGGGAAATAACGGAATCAATTCGTCTACAATTACAGACTTAGTAATAAATACAGGATATTTGCATATGCAATATGCCTGACGTCACAATAGCCGTATCAGCCCTTCAGGGCTGATATGGATTTGCGTGGCTAATACGGATCAATATCACACCTTTCGTAAATTAAACCTTAAGAAACAGTCATTCTGATCATACACATATTTTGGGAGTACATACTCCCTTAATTCTAACTTTTTGATTGAAAGGATAACCTTGTTGACAAATAAAAAATAATTTTCAAATTATGGATCGGGTACATTTGAAATTAGAAGTAGAAACAAAGCCAAACCAGGCGAGACAATAGATGGTGTAATTGTAAGAAGTCATGGTTATTTACTTTTTTTCTCCTCAACTTAATGTGTACTGTAGGTTTTCTTACCAACTGTGTAAGAAACATATTAAAACATACCCTTTTCCACACGTTATCCTTTCAGCCTTCAACCAATATCAGCCAGAGCTAGAGCCGAAGTGTTTTGAGCTGATAAAGGATGTGATGTGGAAAAGGGTATGTATTATTCTTTATGTATATGATGGCTTAACAGATAGTATGAAAAACGTCTAAAAAATTTGACAGAATGTAAAATTGTATTTGCTGAAAAGGTAATTATATCGACCATAGATCTTACGCTTCCAATCTAAGTACAGATTTTAGCCAAATATCCGTAAAAAGTATGTTCTCTTAATAACCGATCAGAACTTTTTGTTTTTGTATCAATTTGTATTCTACATGAAAACTTTACCATGTGTAAATATAAAAAAAAAATAAGCATATAAAATAAATAATAAATCCTTAAAATTTTAGAAAAGTAGAGAAAATTCTTATTAGCCAATATCTATTTTAGTTAAATTATTTATGTCAATTTGGTAATATCATCTTTTATGATATACATGTAGTCTATTTATAGTCCCTATGTAATCTACACAAACGAAAACAGTTCATAACGCTACATATTCACCGGATTTTAGGCCGTATTACCGGAGAGTCAATGAGCGTGCAACGGCATTGTGACGTCACAATCAATACATCGAACAACGTTGTAAACAATGGTTGCAACGACCGCAGTGAGCTACGTATCTGAGCAGGAAAACAATTATTCAAACCTATTTCGGGATTATTTTTTTATATTTGGACGTCTTACACATAGCGAAACTTGGAAAGGAAAACACGGATGTTATAAACAGTAATCTGGAGATATTTTTTTTTTTTCAACAATGGAAGATTGCAATTGAAAATGGTGTCGTCATACAGCCTTCAATGTCTTATCTATTCAAATCCCGACTATATATTAAAACAATTATGGACTCTTTTGGTATTCAACACCAAAAGAGCCCATAATTGTATAATATGTCCTATGTAGTCCTATCGCTTTATGCGAAAAGAACTACATTCAATCCTTTGAAAACCGAATAGACATCGCATGATGTGCAACAGTATTTTTTTTAATTCTCAATATCCAGGGAAGGTAATGACCTTGACCTGACCTTGCCTTTTATATAAAACGGTCATATTTTATCTCACTGATACTATCCTTAGTGATATTGTCTTCTTGATTATGTGAAAATTTCATTGATTTTTTTATACAGAAAATATGCGAAGAATCCTACATTAAGAAATTAATCATTCTCTCCCGTATTGCATCAACTGAAATATATAAACTCCGTATGCAGGTGATGAAGGCATATTGCTGCATAAGTAAGAAAAGTTGACGATTGAGAAGTTAATTTAAGTCAGATTTTACCAGAAAGATTAGTTGTAAGATAACCATTAACGTATTTTCTAGTAAAAGATCCAGATATGAAACAGACCTGTCAGACGCTGTGGTATGTTTTATTGTGAATTAACAATACATCGTCGATAAATCTAAAAGTGGAGTTGAAAGACGCAGCAAGTCTTTTCTTCTTTTCACTTAAAAGATTTTTTTTTAAATTTGCTTATAACGGGGGCGCAATTATTACCTACGATTATTCCAATAGATTGTTGGAAGACCTGTCAATTATATCAGAAAACCTGTATTGTCATTTATCATGGGGAATTTTTGTTTGAAGGATATGGAGATAAAGAACAATATATATAGTTGAAAAGTCGCCAGGTCTTTTGTTTTTTATCTTGGTAAAAATTCTGTGATTTCAGAAATTCCAAATGTTCCTTGGATTTTTTCAGTATACTCAGAGATTAACACCACTTCTCGAATATATTGTTGAACAGTACTCGTCAAGTTTCTCCCACGCTAATGCTATGATCTTTGTGAGGAGTAAAGAAAGAGGCCTGGTTCAACATTTACTAGAACTAGTATAAGACTGATAAGTAATTTTGAAGAATGTCCTAAGTTTATATTTTGAGATAATTTGGCAAATTATGGACGTTTCATGCTATAATTTTCAACAATTCTTTAATTTCATTTTGTTGTTTTATGTTTCTTAATTGTTTTAAACACGAACTACATAGTTTTAATCTGATCGTATCAGTTCAATAGTACCACGGTAACCCCTAACTGTGCTCCAACTTCTCTCTCGAAATAAAATTAATGTGAATAATGCATAACTGTAAAAAGGGAAGTAAATGTACATAAAGCATTTTTCTACATAGACCATACAATTAAATAAGTGCATAATTACTAGTTGAAATGAGATGTTTTGTTAGATTGGTGTATTTTTTTTTAATTTCTACACGAATTCACAACTTCAAATCCTCCACACAACCCTGAACATGCATTTCTGTTACATATTTCAATCTGATATCGTTTCAAATATTTTTTTTTGGCTTAAAAATTTGAAAATAATGTTTTTTACTAACCATGGACAGAATATAACACTCCAAATAACAAAAGACTCAGACGGGTGGGTTCAAGCATCATCAGTTTGTAGAGGAGGACAATTGTACTCTTCTTTAAATAATGTGAACATTATCCTCTGCGACGCATTGATAAAAAAAACATGTACTCTAACTCTCTTGTTCAGTTCTGACCTCTTATGGTATATACCAGGAAGTTCACTACTACTTAACTAAAGTGATGGAGAAAAATATAACTATAAATATACATTGTGGTAATGTTATACTCATTTTAGGTAAACATTTGTATATGTAATTATCATTTGTTATTTTGTTTAAGTATTACCATATTTCTGCTTTTAACGAAATGAAATGAAAAAAAAATATGTAGATAACGTACAGTTTAAAACATCAAAAGTCTATAAAACAATACAAAATAGGAGCAGAACAAGCACTTACCTCCAAAACATCAGAGATGGTATCAGGTGCCATAGAGATATGAGCATCCGTACCGACCTGTTACACCCACCAACCGGAGTGCTCACAAAGGGGAAATCACTGAAAACAGCCGTCGTCAACTCCGTGTTCATGTACAAAAGAAATGAAGAACGTCTGTCAGCACTTTACTCAATTAATTAAAGTTTAGATGAAGAATTGTACTAAAAACAATGTTAAACAAAGGAACAACTTTCTGAATATTTTGTTACTGGTTGCATTCTTATAGTTAAATCAAATACGTTAAAATAACGAACAATGAATTTTTAAATACATACAAAGAAAATTCGTAAATAGTGCATAGAACAGAGACCCCTCGGGGTTCTAGAAGAGAGGTCAGGTGCTTAGATAGAGTAAGTTTCTCCTGTTCACAAAAAGCAAGATTTGTTTTAAGGTCGCCATGCTACCCTGACGTCAAAAATAAACAAACACTCAATAACGTAATGCACCGATAACCCAGTCATGTACTCTCTTTCTGCATCCTGTGAATCAATATTACACGTCTCCCAACAAAAACGTTAAACTTAGTACATTAGGCAGTTTTCAGTGGTGTAAAAATTATGCTATATTTATCTCCTCCCCACAAAAATTAATGATAAAAAAGAAGTAAATTTACATGCAGCGTCTTAATATGTACGTATTTATCAATCTATACAATTGAATAAGTAAATAATTGCCTGTTTATCTGACGTGAATCTGGTGTTTCTAGATTTAGAACTTTTATGTTACTTCACAGCTTCAAATAATTCGCACAACAGGTGTCACAATAGTTTTAATTTCTGCTATATATTCTTACCAAAAATGCGCAAGTTTGAGTACATGTAACTAATTCAAAACAAACTTCTGAGAAATTTCCTTTTCAGATCTTGTAAAACCATTCTTTATAAAGATTTTAGTACCAAAAAATACATGGGCATCCAGCAAGGCACGCAAGTTTGTTTCGGTCGAAGTCGAGCAGGTGCTTGAAAATCTAGTCCAGGGTCTAATCACTCCCCACTCTTGACAGTATATAGAAAGATCAGCACGCCCTAAATTTTAATAAATCTGGTCAATACAGGAAATTTACATGTTGTTTTTCATCTCATAAAAAATTCAGCTCCAGTCTCGTATCAAAATGCCCGAATCGGAAGGGAAGATTCCGGGATTATTTTGCGTCAGCCATGATTTGACGTGAACCAAAGTGTAATACTGTTATGACACCTGCAACATACATCTACATCATGTTTATTTTTCACATAGAATACTATTTTCTTACACAAATTATTTTTAAAAAGTAAATAAGTAATTCATCTGATCTTTGAGAGAAGAAAACAACCTTATTCACAAGACATGACGGATGAATTCAAACATCTTCAGTTTGTAGAGGAGGGCAATTTTACTCCTCCTTAAAATTATATGAACATCGTTATTTCCGATATATTAAAAACAATGTACTGTACTCTTGTTTTGTTCTTACATCTTATTATATATACCAGGAAGTTAACAACGATCTTTCTAAAATTATAAAGTAGTGAAGAAAATAGAAACTATGAACATATGCTGTCATATTGTTAAACTCCTTTGTTGATAAATATATATTAATTTACATTCTTTTAGAGTGGAGATAACCGTCGTAAAATGAAGTCTTCTGTACATATAAATGCTGAGTTGAACGCCACAACAAGTTTCTTTTTTTCTCATAGAACATTTAGAACAAATTCTGCTTCATATGAATACAAGAATAGGTCAGCTAATAACAGACAAAATTGCTAATCATGGGATTTCCAAAAGATGTTTAGAAGACCTGTTACCCAAATATTCAATAGATATTGTCAATCGGAACTCAAGCGGCTTTTTTAATATCAACTTTAGAGTACTTGTGTTGTACAATCAGAATGTTTATTACAGAAAAAATTTTGCAAAAGATTAATGGCTGGGTAAGTGAATCAACGAGTTCCATTCGTATTGAAAAATAGCTCCAGTCAATAATATCAAAAACATAAAATTTAATTTATCGTGGGGCAATGTTCTTCATGTACACTATATATAAAATTGAAAGTCATTAGTTTTGATGTTCTTGAATTTAACAAAATTCTGTGATTTTAATTTTCCAAAATTTCGAATATATAGGCATTCATACATGTATCTGATTTACTCCACATCTCGAATACATTTTTGTAAAGTACTCCAAACCTTTCTCCTTTCCTAATGTTAATATTTTAGTCAGGAGTAATGAAAGAGGCTTACTTGAATATTTACTGGAATACGCTATGCATCTTTGTTTCCAAGATTTGGAAACATATGCATGTAGAAATTTCTGTTTGATTGTCGACAGTATCAAAACTGATCGACATATGAATTTGTAGAATTACCTCATTTGAAATGGAAAAAGTAAGCGTATAAGTTGGATTACAGCCTGTAGAATTAATTCCAGTTTCTCTTAAATACAACTCCAATAGTGAGTCTTACAACCAAAAACTTTGTTGATACCTGTTTGCGCACGTTAATAGCTGACCTTTTTGTATTAGCTTTGTCCACAAATACCAGTACATGTAAACATTGATCGTGTAATTTATCTTTTATTTTCTTTTTTCTTATATGAAATATTAAGAGCAGAGGGATACTTGTGCGAGATTTTAACATGTATCTGAGAAAAATTCACAGTATTAATAATTTCTTCCAACTTCTTTATTGCAAACGTCCATTAATGCATAAAGGAGGTGATTTCACACGAATGTTTCGAAAGTATGGTTAAAAAAATTAGCAATTGTAATTTCGAAAACTAGAGCAGCGTATTTAGTAATGATTACAATAAATCAAGTGTTCACAATGTCAATGGTTTAAACAGTAAAACATAAATAAAGAATAGAACGGTTGATAGAAAATCGCTGTTTTTTTTTTCTTAAAACTAGATGAAATCCTGCGCACGCGCTAGGAATTTCCATTACAGACAGAAAGTATATAGAAAGTAGTTTCTACCGACACTGTATAGGCATATAGGAAAAAGAAATACTTCAAACATTCAAAATCTCTCATGAAGTAGATTTACGTCTCCGCCCTATTTGTATTAAAATAAAAAATAAATTCATTCATTGACATTTATTGTGAAACCTGATCATATTCTAGATAGTATACTTCAGATACCCCATCTCATTCCTGCGAAGGAAAGGGAAGCAGGAATGTGGACATTTTACTGATAAATGTTATTTTGGGGGACAGAGAGGGATTAATAAGTACTTTGGTCTTGTTTTCTTATACATATTTATTAACTAAGTTTCATTGGGGGGAGGGGGGCAAATTTTTGGTGATTTCCGAATAAAGTCCAATTTAATTTAATTTAATTCTTAGAAAGTCTTTATTTGAGTGTGAAAAGATAAATATTTTTCTGAATTTAAGTTTCATTATTTTTACAATATTTCAACCTACATTGAGAGACAGTCTGTCTCAACAAAGCTTTTGTTTGTCCCTAACATATATAATATACTTTTGTTTTTATTTCTGAAGAGCGAACCCAAAGTACACACATAAATATTCAATATTAACTCTTGACAACTTCCTGAATTGTTATACAACATACATTTAATGTTTACGTTATAGAAATATGACATTACCTTTTCCCTGCAAGCACTTTATAGCGTGGCACAAGTTTCTCTAAGGTTTAGCGTAAATAATATTATGACGTTATATTTTAATAAGAAAATAACTTTTCTTATTTTATTAGACTTTACCAAGCATAAAATAGAAGGAATTAGGCAATAAAATAAAGATTAAATGAAGTTTTAAAGTGCGTGAAAATGCGTGATCGTGGGGTAACGGTAAATGCGTGATTTTGCGTTAGAGATAGGAAATGGTATATGCGTTAAAATGCGTGACTGCGGGGAAGGGGGTTAAGTACTTAAATGCAATTTAATTTATTCCCACCAATAACTTGATAACTAATGTGTTTTGCAGGGACAGATGAACTGCCCAGAAGTCCAGGCTAACTGTGTGTCTCCCATGCTATTTTTCTTGGCTATAGGTTTACAACTTCTATTTATAGTGGGATATATGGTATATAGGTAAGCAATTGATTATCTTTAGGGTTAGAATTTTTTTGACTTAATGGTGTGAGGAAATTTAAAGTGGTCACCTGCAGATCAAAAACTGTGCATCAAAAATTTGAAACAAAGCAACTTGAAATTGCATAAAAGACACACAATTCAAAAAAAGCTAATTAAATAAAACTTTTACTTTAAAAAATCACTGTAAGCTTTGATTTATTGTTTTTATTTAATTTTGTTTATTTCAGATCTAACAAAGAAGCACAAGCCAAGAAATGTTTTAAGTTTTTTATCAAATTGTTATAAGCTTCAGAAATGATAAGAAGCATTTACAGAATGGAGAAATTGCAAGATCTGAAAAGAACAATAACTCAGTATGCAAGAGTTATCTTTCTTACACTAAGCGCCAACCTACGAAGTTTGTAGATCTAGTTAAACATAAGTAGATTTATCAAAATTTTAAAAATGTAAATGTATTCTATTTAGCGTGTGCAATATTTGGTGGAAGTTGGTTATTAAATGTGTTGGCGTAGATTTGCTTTAGGGCATTTCTTCATATTTTATCTTCGTGTTAATGTGTCTTTAGCTTTGTACTTGATTTAGTGGTTGTTCCGTTCCACCAAAAGCGCTAAAAAGAATATACAGTCAAATTTCCATTTACGAGTACAGTTTGTGAAAAGACAAAATGATTTGTTATTAGTAAGTAATCTCTGAAATATCAGTATTGTGTTCTTTCAACAAAACAAACAAATTCTGAATTAGGACCCTTTTTGTATTATTTTGAACAATTTCTATTTGGAATAAATGTAATCATTATATTATGCGTTATCTTGATGTATACATTCTAGTACATTTAGTATGTGTCTGTTACCATGACCGACGTAGAATAAAGAGTCTTCTAGAAATAATCTATTTTCATAAAGGAGGCCAGTCATCCAAAAATCAATTTAACTATCAAAGCGTTGAATTAACTGAAGTTTGTTGACCTGTTAGATAATATCTGATGAATTTATCATTTTTAATGGGACGAAAACGATTATATGGAAAATATATACTCACCGTCAATGAAAACGCAACACTCTAATTTTAGGGTGAAAAGTATATACGGGTTATAACTATGTACAAAAAAAGTTAGGACATCTTTTACTTTGCCAAATCAATTATTTAACGGTTGAATGAATTTCCTTCCTCTACCGGAAGTTGCTTTTTAGCCCTCTTAACAGAAATAAAATTTTTGCATTTTTAATAAAATTTTAAACAATATTTTGGGTTTTCAACGTTTTGAAACTGTTAATCATAAGTATTGTACTAAAAGGCCGGGAAAAAAATCCTTCTTTCTTTACCGGATGTGATGCCTATATTTCCTCAAAATGATTGATTTTCATTGCTAATGCTGGAAATTCTTAAAATAAAGAAAAAAAGAGCTGCAGATGCAAATGTACACTACATCACAACTCATCAGGCTCATGTGTTTCAATAGCATAAATAACATTTTCTTGACCGGAAGCCCAAGAGTTACTACACTACGCCATGTTAGAGAAAATTCGACCGCAGTATCTGAACAACAGGCATTTAAAAATGCCCAAGAATATTTATTTCGCTCAGATAAAGACATTGATAAACCTAATGGGTGGTAGAAATCGGACTGCGTACATGTATAATTTTCATAGCGGACTAGCATGTTTTGATTAAATGGTCGGAAGGGGGGGGGTGTTTTATTTAAATGTTATCTGTTAAGAGGGCTAAAAAATCAGCTTTCGGTAATGAAATGAAAACCATTCAACCATTAAATAACTGATTTGGCAAAGTAAAAGATGTCCTAACTTGTTTGGTATATAGATATAACCCGTATATACTTTTCACCCTAAAATTAGAGTGTTGCGTTTTCATTGACGGTGAGTATATATTTAAAAGCCATTTTCAACGAAAGGGTGACTTACTTTTTTGGAAGAACATAAAAAGCACTATGTGGCCCCAAGTGATTCTTGTGTGTTTTTTCATAAATCTAGCATATGGGTTGCAGCAAGCGGTCAGTTTTGAATACAAATACAGCTTTAAAGGCCCCCATTTGACCCAGAGCAACAAAAGCATCCCATTCTGGGATTACGGAGGAGGTAAGATTGTTTTCCCTAAGTTACACTTAGCGCGTTCTGATTAGCTGTTACCTTGTTAACGATAATATATTCCGGAACATGTTAGAATACTTTTATGCTGAATTAAAGTAATTAATTAATATATTGTTGATAAAAAAAGGTGATAGCTTGAGTTGAGTATTACAGCTACGTATATAAAAGTTCATATTTGACATGAGATCATCGCCTAATTGCACAATGTATTTACACAGTATTTGCGCAGTAGTAACATTAGTAAGTGGAGCTCTTAGCCCACATTTAAGCGAGACAGAGTCAAAATTCTGATACATTTCCATTTCAATAAAATAATGCATGTAGAAAAAAAATACTTGACGAATTAACTCAGCTGTTACATTTTAATTGGCAAATCTGTAGGATATTAATTTTACAGCATCTACTTGATGGGTTTAATTGCAAAATACAACATTAAGAGGGTTCAATGTCCTTCCAATAAACCATGAAATAAATATTCGCCTAAGCATATCATTTATAATGGAAATGAAGCGAATTGAGAAATATTATGAGAGGTAGAAATATATATACCTATTTTCTGAAAATTCATCAGCTTTATTTTTGATCAGAAGCCTGCCTTTTTTGAAATATAGCATGCTTTTTCGTATCAAATGAATACGAATAAATTTACACCATTTGCAGTTGATTTCGGAACTCCTCAGCTTTCCTTTACGTTGATAAATAGAACATCAGCGTTTGCAGTGGTGTATAATTCTTTATCACTGATTTATTTTGATATTTTTAGATGCTATCGCGTTCGATGATTATATCAGATTAACTCCCCATAGAAGGAACAAAAGAGGTAATTATATTGTTATACATGTCATTTAAATAGAATTCAGATACAAGTTTCAGATTTAACTAATGTAAACAATGTGCTTTTATAATTGAGAGAGGGTAAGGCTACATGAATTCCAAAATTTTTGTAAGTCTCAATGATTCACTGCTATATCTATATTCACAACATTTCCTTATTCGTTTCATAGCTAGAGCTTGCTGTTTGTTTATCTTTTTTGTTTGTTTGTTCGTTTGTTTGTTGTTGTTGTTGCTGTTTGATGATTATACTAGTAATTTTATTTTGAAGCATAAAAATATTTCATGTGACTTGACACATATGTCATTGTATCAATTTCAAGTCGCAATTTTTTTTTCCTGAAAGGTTGGGTCTTGAGCACTCTAAAAACAAGCTTTAACCAGTGGTTTGTGGAATGTGTTTTCAAAGTCACAGGACGGGGTCGTGTCGGTGCACATGGACTGGTAAAAATCATATTTTCTTTCAAATATTTTCTTGCTTTGACATCTATTACAAAACACACAAAAATCACTTTTATAAATTAAAAGCTCTCGCAGATTATACATTTCATTAAGTAGATAGGGCATATTGTTGATATATTTTTCTTTTACCAAGTGTTTTACGCATCAAAAATATTTTATTCAAACCTATCCAAATGGAAGAAAAGTCTTGGAGCTTTTTAAAATTACTACATGAACTATATGATTCAGATTAATTACCTATGTAACTTACATTTGATTGACAACTTCGTTTGATGCTTGTTTGTGTTCAGCGACTATTTTGGACAGAATGCTAAATTAGTGTTGTATCGTATTTGTTTTTGTTTTTTTTTTTTTTACTTTTTTCACAGACTGTTGAATTCTGTTATTTTGTTCGTGTATGTTGACAGGCTGTGTGGTTTACAGAGGACAAAGGTCAGGTCGGACCAGTTTTTGAGAACCAGGTTATGTGGAGGGGACTGGGTGTGTTTATGGACTCCTCTGATAATGATGGACAGGTAATCTTAATTGTTACGAGCATCTGTATATGCACGTGTACATCATATACAAAGAAGAACAAATGTGATGAATATTTATACCCCCGCTCCGAAGGAGAGGGGGGTATACTGTTTTACCCTTGTGTGTCTGTCCGTCTGTCTGTCCGTCTGTCCGTCTGTCTGTCTGTCTGTGTGTCCGTCCGAAACAAATTTTCGTCGCAGTTTTCTCAGCAACTATTCATCGTAGATGCTTGAAATTTTAACACAATCTTCTCTGAGGCATGCCATATGGTGGGATACATTTTCGCTTAAATCCAATATCAACTTCCTGTTTGTCTGTGCGTCTGTCTGTTTCATACATCACAAATTTTCGTCGCAGTTTTCTCAGCAACTACTCATTGTAGATGCTTGAAATTTTAACACAATTTTCTCTGAGGCATGCCATATGGTGGGATACATTTTCGCTTAAATCCGATATCAACTTCATGTTCGTCTGTGCGTCTGTCCGTTTCATACATCACAAATTTTTGTCGCAGTTTTCTCAGCAACTGCTCATTACAGATGCTTGATATTTTAACACAATTTTCTCTGAGACATGCCATATGGTGGGATACATTTTCGCTTAAATCCGATGTCAACTTCCTGTTTGTCTGTGCATCTGTCTGTTTCATACATCACAAATTTTCGTCGCAGTTTTCTCAGCAACTACTCATCGTAGATGCTTGAAATTTTAATACAATCTTTTCTGAGACATGCCATATGGTGGGATACATTTTAGCACAAATCCGATGTCAACTTCCTGTTTGTCTGTGCGTCTGTCCGTTTCATACATAACAAATTTTTGTCGCAGTTTACTCAGCAACTATTTATTGTAAATGCTCATCTCTCTGAGACATGCCATATGGTGGGATACATTCTTTTTTCAAATCGGATGTCAACTTCTTGTTTGTCTGTGCGTCTGTCTGTTTCACAAATAACAAATTTTCGTTGCAGTTTTCTCATTAGCTATTCATAGCGGATGCTTCAAATTTTATTACACTCTTTGTTTAGGCATGCCATATGGTGGGATTAATTTTGATATGAATCTGATGTCAACTTCATATTTTTCTGTGCATCTGCCTGTAATTGAATTTGTGTATATTAAAATGATAGTGCTTATTTACATTAGAGCGGGGGTATTACTAGTGAGCATTTGCTCACAGATTTCTTGTTTGTTTTGAAATTGGCGAATGATCTTAACATATTGGAATACTAAATTCTTTATTTTATTTTAGCATAACAATCCATACATTATGGCAATGGTTAACGGCGGAACACAACAGTATGACCACCAGAGGTGAGGGTTTAGTTTGATATGACAATTAAACACAAAAGATTAATTGTAAACTAAAGTATATCTAAATAGTTGTTTTCTATGAAAGAAGAAAATTTGTTGTTTTTTATGTTATTTTGTTCCTCCTTGAGAAAAAATTAGTCCTAAAATCTTCAAATTGTGAGAACATATTTCATGACCTAAATGATTTTTAAGAAAAAGTAAAATATTTTTATGCTTAAGGTATTCAATGTATAACGACCATCTTTTGTACCTAATAAATGAACGGTCCAATATTTTTAATCATGGTAGCAATTTGAAGATATTATCAAATGAAAATGCTCCACCAAAGGAATTTACAAAATTTTGATTATTGTCCAATTAATATCACTTTGAATTTTACATTGAAGTCTATGGGAAGTGAATGTTTTAATAAGATATTGTAAAAAGTAATTTGAATTTGAATTTCAAAGAAATCTCTTGGTGAAAATATGCATAAACTCCCTCTTTATTAAAATATAAAGTAAAATAAATTATTTACCGCAGAAATTTTGTGAAATCAAAAATTTTCTTCTTTTCATCAAGGGCAGATAACTTTTCAAAAACTGTAAATGTGCAAAATGACCGTCTCCTTACATGTTAAAAGTCTTGTGAATTTGGTTTATTTCACTTTTATCTTTTCTAGCTGTGTGCTTTTAACTAGTTTAAAATTATTTAAAATCAGTCAAAATCCCTTCGTTATACATTGAATACCTTAAGTGAAATTAATTCTTGTTGAAATTAACCAATATCTGGTGTATTTTCATTAACTCAAAGTCATGCCTGGGTTAACTTTTACATGTCAATAAACACTCAAAATATGTTTGAATCGTCTTGAGTATATTCTTTATAATGGGGCTTCAATAAACAGTGACCATATTATTAATACTTTATTGTTCTTTGCTATACAGTGATGGTTCCCAGCAACAGCTTGGTGGATGTCTACGTGATTTCAGAAACAAACCGTACCCAATCAGAGTGAAGATAGAGTACTACAGTAAAATCCTTACAGTATGTATTCATTTATTATACTTACCAAGTACCGGGCAATAATGATTTGATACATTTCATTCAAATGTATTTCAGTGATTTTACTTTTAATTTCTTTTCTTTTCTTTTTTTTTCTTTATTTTGCTCAAATACATATTTAAGACTTGATTCAGAGCAATTTATTTTATCGAAATATAGAGCGATTTATTCTATTGAAATATGTCTAAGTATCCTGTAAATAATTCTGAAAAGAATACTACATTCCCTTATCATCATTACTAAATTATACTTTTTCACATTTTATTTGAAGTTGAAAACATTTGAAAACACTGAAATGATAGTCCGTCTGAAAAACAAAATCAATGATCTACTCTTCAGTTGTTTATACATGTATTTATATCCAAAATGTCTGTACAAAGAAAAGATAACTCTATTTACCTTCTGCCAGGTATTTGTGAACAATGGTCTGACCAATAACAAGGATGACTTTGAGCTGTGTCTGAGACAGGAGAATGTTAATCTACCAGACAGTGGCTACTTTGGTATAAGTGCTGCTACTAGTAGACTCGCAGGTAATCATTAAAAGGCATCTCCATGGCAGTGTTACGTACGTATATTATGTAAATATCGTTAAGAGAATGCAAAAAGAAGAAACTGTTTATTTTCCAATTTCTATTTAATAGAATAGAATTCTTCAAGATTTATATGAATATGTATCCAGTATGATAAATAAGGGTTCTAGAGAATATGGCGTGATGTTTTAAAGTGTATATTGATTATAAAACTATTTGACGGCGTTGCTCGCTTGTTTCATTTTTTTTTATCATGTGCTTTTGGTGCGAATCATTACCGTTACAATTTTAAAATGTTAATGTAATTATAATTTAAAATTATACAGCCATATAACTCCTCTATTTACTGTAAATTTATTTATGCTATCTGTACAAAGTAAAACTTGCTACGGCGCTCGCAGATTTTAAAAGTCGAAATCTAGAAAATGATACATGCAGCATAAGTTCTCTGTCCTCCCAATCTCAATGGTAAATTCAGCAAGAAAAAAATATTAAAAATAAGTTTGATTTTATGCATGCAGTAATTACACTGTACTTTCAGCAGATGTTTTAATATGGTGAAAGTTTTCATAGAGAATGTTTCAAACTGACACAGGTTATTTTTTTTTTAGATGAACATAGGGTCTTGGCCTTTCTAACTCATTCACTTCTTTGGATCTCAGAACATACAGGCTGTTCATGAGGACTTCTTTCCTACCAAGTGGCACAAATTATTATAAAATAGAGAATAAATTCGCAGTTCTGTATAAAGGATTTGCTTCTTTATTTGCTTGAAAATAAAAAAATTATGTATTTTGATTTCTTTTTTTTTTTCTTCATTTTCAATCCTTTGAATTCGTTTCTAACTTGACATAGTCACAAGATCACGTACTTCTTTAATGTTTTTGAAATATGTAATTTACACATTAATTTTGTCAATGTTTGAATATATTTATGTCAGCTTTTTTTTTAAGGCAAAAAATAATACATGTATTATGGTTTAAAATCTGACTCTGAATAATAATATGTGTCTTAAATGATTAGAATTGACGCATTCATACACTTCTTCTATTTACTATTTTAACATGGAGGTGAATGACCGTGGTGTTCTGTAAATTCTATAATCTTATTGAACAAGGAACGGCCATAGGTATATTCATATAATTTTATATATACTTTTCTTCTGTTCTTTTATTATTGTAATTTCAGCACTTCATCTCCCATTAAATCACTTTTTGATTATTTAAAAGCAGAGTTTTTAAAATAAGCGAATTGAAATAAATATCATTTAAACAAGTGTACTTCTTCATTATTTTTCTCTAATTTAACTGAATTGATAGCCATTCGAATTTTTCAAAACACTTAGGAGGGCACCAAAGTACAAACGGAAGGGGTTTTCTTTTGACAAATATTAATTACATCACTCTTATGTTTACTTCCTCATACGAAAAGTTTTGTACGTGGATATAAACATACATGCTAAAAATAAGAACAAAGTACTTTATAAAGTATCATCTTGAAACAGTTTATAAACAAAAAAAAAACTATTTTTCAAGCAAATGTACAATGTAAAACACAAAGAGCTTTAATATTGTCTTATTTTTTATTAACAATAACAAAAACTGTAGGCAAAGAAAAATTGCAAAGGAATCTAAATGTATATTAAAGAAGAAAAACATTAATTCTGAAGGAGGTATCATGTTGTAAATTTTGAATTTACTAAGGCCCCTAGTAAATTCAAAATTTACAACATGATAGAGGGCCGTTAGCAACATTTTTCGAGTCAAGCTGTTATTTATTTAATGCCTGTCAATGAGAATTTTGACACGCAAGGAAGGAAAACCTTCCACAATCCAGATTTCTATTTCGTGGGATGAGAGATAATGCACTTTGTGAAAAAAGACAGAATTTTGTTTTTCTTGCCGGTCGAAGATAAATTATTTTCAACTTGAATAATTTTTTTTTCTCGAAAATCTGTCAGCCCTCCTTTATAAGTCAAACTGTCATCCCAAAAAGTACACAATTACCTATAAATTCTATATTAAGATATGTAATTGATGTGATAGTTAAAAACATTCTACAGTTAAAACCGTTTCAGAGTTTTAGGGTTTCACTGGACTTTCTTTTAAGAAGTTTTCATTGTGGTTTTTTTTTTCAATATATGGACAGAAAGAGGATATATGGAGAGAGAGATTCCTCTGACACAAGGAAGATATTCTCGTCCAAACAGCCATGAGTGACTTACTTATTTAGATATTACTCTTGGCAATGTTTATTTGATTATATCATAGTAATATCTGTGTTTGGAAGTAAGAGTATATGCTCTATAACTTGAACTTTTAACGAGGAAATCAACACTCGGCATTTAGGGTTCACATAAAGCAGCAAAAGCCTTTTTTATTCTCTAAAACCTTTCATGTGGAAAAATTTGATTGGAAAAGAAAATTTGTTTATCACAAGATTTTTTGAATTAAAGTAGGGGCCTACTCGTGGTAAACCGGAAGCCGGAATTAGCCGTTTTCGGTTTTAATATTATGGTTCATGTAATATTAGCAAGAACGTAAACAATGTCTACAGAAGTGTTGGAGGGGTGTATAAAGCTGATTTAGGGTATTTTGTGTGCAAGGATTGAGATTTATACAGTATAAAAACAAGCGCGAGGTCGAATGCCAGTCATTTCAGATATATTTTACCCAGGATGTTATATTGATACTATACGTTTATGATTGCATTGGTACAACTCCAATATTTCTGATACCTATTTACAGAAAACGTAGCAAATAATTTGCTCTTATGTCATTAAATATTACTTCTCGTTTATTGTTTTTATTTGTTCACAACTGGTATGATATGCAGATGGGATTTTCCTACTTTCGTTTTGACGGCAAATTTTCTACATACGAATGAAGGTACGCAGGCATACACATGTAATAAAAAAATCAACACAGGGTACTGATCTTGTATATGAAATTTTAGACATAATTTTGCTTGCAAGGCATTGTATATCTTGCTTATAATCTTTTGTAAGTAGTAATAGGCATCTAGGAAAGTCGTATCATTAGAAATGGACATGCCCCCCCCCCTGTATATAAAATATTCAGAATTAAATGTGAGAATAAAATTTATGTTTATGATTAGGAACGGGTAAATGATAAAATTGTTTTTAAAAAGTATATTTCACTTTTTAGCTGATTTATAAATATTTTTGTTGACAAAAAAGACTTTAGCTATTGAACTGCGAGGGGGGTACCTGTATGTTTTACCCCATATCTCGGTGAAAAGACAGATTACCAATACATTCATCATGCCTAAAAGATACTTCAAGCATCAGTTGACATATATAAAGACAAAAAAATCAGGGTAAACAAATTAATTATTCTAGTAGAGAGCTTTATTTGAGTTTTGAGCTGAGTTACTTTATTAGGAAAATGAGATTAATTCTACAATATTTGTAAGTTTCAACCAGTAATGTGTACTGCAGCCTGAAATTATTCAATAATATCCTTATCCTTGTGATTTATGTTCAAAAGAATTTATTTGCCGTGTGCTGTGACATAAAATGTAGACCGTCTTTATAACAGTCGTGATTTTGTTTTTGGTACAAGAGGGTACATGAGTGTTTCACACCCTATCTCATTAAATATATAGATTATCTATATACTTTTTGTGCTTTTGAAGTAGATAAAGTATCTCTTAATGTAAATCAGGACAAAAATTGCACTGTTAACCAATTAATTCCACGAGTAGGGACCTAACTTAAATACTTTAATGCGATTGAAGTAGCAAAATAGAGAGAAAATTAAAAAAAAAAAAACAATAACTATTTTTAAGAAATTTATATTGACATTTGTGATGATTGAGTTCGGGTTAGTGTGCTTAGTTTCAGCTGGAGTATCATATTCTGTACAGGGTAAGAAGCAGATTTACGTTAAATTTAATAGAAGTTAAAGGCATGAAGCAGTATATATTGATTTTTCAGTGCATCTACAAAAGTATGTGTTAATACCATGTAAAACGTTTGTCTTATTGCAATATGATGCTTTTATGATTAAAAAGGAGCGGTGCTATCCTTTATATTCAATTAAAACATCTCATCGTTTTGCATTTTTCTTGATAATGAATACGCTTTGTCAAAAAAAAACTTCAAACTCATTTTGACCGTTGTGGACAAAGTAGGGATAAGGTTTAAATAAAAATCATTATTCTGTCATAAAGACTGATGTGGCATTCATTGATTGTAAGAAAATAAGCAATCATAATTATATTTGGGTTATATGTATTATTAAAGTGATGTAAATTAAGGAAGTGCGATTATTATGCTCTAGGAAATGAAATCAGCATGAACGTATTTAAGTATTCTTATTTCTTAAGTGATAAAAATTTATATCACTGCAGAATTTCAAAGAAGCAGTGAATTAAACGAGTGCGTTTATTATGCACAACTCATTAGGTAAATCTTACGTTATCCTTTACGGGAAAATGCAATATACATGTATCAGAAGCAAAGTGTTCAAATATTTATAATAAATTCCTGCATAAACATCCTCTAAAATGTTTATCGTATATATCGATACAACATACAACGCTCTAGAGGTTAACGATTAAAAGGACTAAAATCTTATTTAACAGGTTGGGAACACATCCCCTTTAGCGAGATCATCTCGCTAAAGCGCGATTATCCTTCCCTAGCGGAAGAAAAAGCATTGCCATAAACGAGAACTTTGTTGTTTTCACTATAAAAAAATCAAAAACCTCGTGCGTATTGAAAATCCGGGAGAAAACTGCATTGAAGTGTGAATTTACTACAAAAAACTGACAATATTGGCTAGAAATTTTAGAAAATCACTGTGCGTGTGAGAATAAGAAGCTGAAATCCACGTGAAAATCGGGCCTTTTTAGCGAAGGTTTTTTTGATTTACAGTCATATATGTTTTTGAAGCACATAAAATATGCATAGAATCCAAATTATATTCGTTAGGGTGTTAGTTTTCCATTCTTGTAAAAAAAAAAAATAATAAAAATAATGTTCTTCAGAAACCCATGATATTTGCTTAAATATTAAATCTTTGGTTGACGCTAAGAAGCGCAACAGGGTTGTAACATCAACCTGAAAAAAAAAACTTGACAAAAAGAGGAGAATTTGACCAATTTGAAAATCCTATGTTGTGTGGGTAGAGGGGGAATGTACCTTCGAACTTTTTTTTAGTTACCACTTACCCTTCTTTTCATTAACACTGAAACGTGCCTGTTGAAAGTGAAAAACATGTTACCTTGAATTACTTTTCATAACTATACGAAATTAGAGAAAACAAAAATTCGAAATTGCATTTTTGAAATAACTGCTTTTAAAGTGTTGTTATAATTTAAAGAAGTATGCCCTAGGTATTCGTATTTTAATGACATACATTCTTAATGTTTTTACCGGTGGCAATGAACAGTTCATCGTTTGAGGACACTTCAATTGCGTTTAATACATATGTTGGGATCCTGCATAAGATAACATGTGTAAATTTTGATAGGGAATCAGATGCTTTCCAAAACATAGGCTACATGAAAGAACACCGACAAGGTGGCATTTTTATATCTTAACACAGACCTCTAAAATATCAGAGTTTGAACCAGGTGCCAGGGAGGAGTGGGCATCTCCTGCCGACCAGTCACACCCGTCGTGTCCTCCATATATCATGATCGAAATATATACTCACCGTCAATAGAAACGCAACACACTAATTTAAGGGGTGAAAATTATGTACGGGATATAACTATGTACCAAAAAAGTTAGGACATCTTTTACTTTGCCAAATCAGTTATTTAACGGTTGAATGATTTTCATTCCATTACCGGAAGTTGATTTTTAGCCCCCTGAACAGAAATAAAAAATTAGCATTTTTAATAAAATTATTGACAATATTTTGGGTTTTCAAGGTTTTGTACCTGTTAATCATAAGTCTTGTACTGAAAGTCCGGAAAAAAAATCCTTCTTTCTCTTCCGAATGTGATGCCTGTATTTCTTCAAAGTAACTGAAAGCACGCATTTTCATTGCTTATGTTGGGAATTCTCAAAATAAAGGAAAGCGAGAGCTACAGATGCAAATATACACTACATAACGACTTTTCGGGCCCATGTGTTTCAAAAGCATGAAAGACAGTTCCTTGACCGGAAGTCCAAGGGTTTCTACACTACGCCAAGTTAGCAAAAATTCGACCTCAGTTTCTGAAAAACAGGCATATAAAGATGCACAAGAATTTTTATTTCGCTCAGGTTAAGACATTGATTAACCTACTGCATGATAGAATTCGGGCTGCGTTTGTTGTACCTGGCGGACTAGGACGTTTTAATTGAATGGTCGGAAGGGGGGATGTTCTTAAAGTTATGTGTTACTTTTTAAGGTCTAAAGATAACATTTAAAGTTTAAATGAAGTATCATTGTTCTGTAAATTTACTTTTTACATTTATGTATTCATTTTTAATCTTATCTTTAAACCTTATAAAGTAACACATAACTCTAAAACATCCCCCTTCCGACCATTCAATTAAAACGTCCTAGTCCGCCAGGTACAACAGACACATCCCGAATTCTACCATGCAGTAGGTTTATCAATGTCTTAACATGAGCAAAATAAATATTTTTGTGCATCTTTAAATGTCTGTTTTTAAGATACTGAGGTCGAATTTTTGCTAACTTGGCGTAGTGTAGTAACCCTTGGACTTCCGGTCAAGGAACTGTCATTCATGCTTTTGAAACACATGGGCCCGAAAAATCGTTTAATAGTGTATATTTGCATCTGTATCTCTCGCTTTCCTTTATTTTGAGAATTCCCAACATAAGCAATGAAAATCCGTGCTTTCAGTTACTTTGAAGAAATACAGGCCTCACATCCGGAAAAGAAAGAAGGATATTTTTCCGGACTTTTAGTACAAGACTTATGATTAACAGGTACAAAACCTTGAAAACCCAAAATATTGTCAATAATTTTATTAAAAATGCTAATTTTTTATTTCTGTTCAGGGGGCTAAAAATCAACTTCCGGTAATGGAATGAAAATCATTCAACCGTTAAATAACTGATTTGGCAAAGTAAAAGATGCCCTAACTTTTTTGGTACATTGTTATATCCCGTACATAATTTTCACCCCTTAAATTAGTGTGTTGCGTTTCTATTGACGGTGAGTATATCTGTCGAGAATTCAGTGTGTAAATAAAAATAATGGTCTAACACTAAGTATAAAAAAGTCAGTCCGCATTTGACTAAACGAAAGGCTGCATTTTCTAACAAGGTCGTCGACCACGCAGGTATGTTAAGGTAAGTCACTCGTCAGCTTTTTAGAAAAGTTCACGCAGAAGCTTTTACCGGGTACTTCAAAACTACTTTTTAAAATTCAATTTTTGTAACATATTTAAATTCAACAATGTAAATTTTTTAACAATCAATGAAAAAACTGCTCAAAAATCTACAAAGAAGCAAGATTTATGAGGGACTATTTCTTTTGGTGGAAGGATATTTAGCAGAAAATTCTGCAAATCTGCACATTTATAAAATTTAATGTAATGGAAATTTAGCCTCACGTACTTTTACTCGGAGAATGCATTTTTTCAATCTAACGAACAAAATCCAAAAAAAAAAATGGGAAAGTTTCGTCCAAAAGTGTTCTATAATTTTTTCTGTGATAGGACAGTAGGATTCTAGCAGCACTTCTCATGGTACATAGATGTTTTTACATAACTAGTATTACATATTGAAGTTAATTACTGTAAATCACTTTTTATTCGCGAGAACATTATTTTCGCGTAATTACGCGATACAGTGTGCTCGCGAAAATTTAATTCTCGTGTTTAATAGTATTCCTTAAGATTATATAGAGCAATAACCACAATTCGTGAAAATTTTGTCTCGCTTATCAAGAGTCAATTACAATCTCGCAAAAATAAGGTGTCGCGAAAATTAAGTGATCTACAGTATATCCAGGGCAGTGTTGAACTTTTCACTTTTTCATTATGGCATATTTTCTAATTATAGACGTCAAGTGGTGACGTCGTGGTGCAGTGCTTTCTGTAGTACAAGTCCCATTGAAGTGTATATAATCCATAATGATAGCAAAGGTTTTATGCATGATTTTTCCGATATATCAACGTTACATATTATTAAGTTTAATAAATTAATTCAAATTCTGATCCGTCTACTCCCTTTCCAATCAATACAAGAAAGCCTAATTATAAAATGTAAATATACGTCTCCACCTGTTATACTCTGATGAGAATAATTATAAAACATTTGCCGAATCATTACAAAAATTTACTAAATTCATAAGTTGCAAGTTGAAGTATAAAAGTTCTAACAACTTTAAATAGTTGGTGTTCTCATCAAAGTAAGCCATATAAAACTTTAAGCTGTCTGAATGAAAAAAATAATATGGCTGTAACATTATGTATCCGTACAAAGCGAGGGAAATCCGTCATTTTCCTTTTCTCCTTGAAATGTTTATCCAAGCTTACACGTGTTAGATGGGATATTTACAATCAACGTTTAGATCAGGCCCTCTCAGTAAGCCATAAACAAGGAAACTGATTATATATGTATGTAAACAAGATTTATTTTTAAAATGAAAATTACTAAACCATAATGACAGCATTTAAATATCTTGAATGTGAAGTCAGTATAGATAAATTACGCTGCATTTCCGATAAACATGCTCAATTAATTATTGTGATAATATTAACTGAATCAAAAAGTATTTACAGAAAAAGTATATTCACAATATAAAATCTCCTATATAAAGAAGAAAATTTCATTATCAATCAATGTACAAGGTACTAAATGATTCAATCTCTTGCTCTGAATGTTTAATTTGATACGGGATTTAAATATATTCCTTATTTTTATATAAAAGTTATAAAAATAGGAAGTTTCTCTTCTAACATGTATATTTGTTTTAAGAAAAAAAACATGTATTTTAGTTGTCAGACTGTCTTCCCTACAGACTTAATGTCTTCTTAATTAAGTTTTGAAGAACATTTAAAAGTTTTATATTTACTGAAATAATTTGTTTAATCAACTGAATATATGAAGTTGGAATGACAATTATAATACAAAAAGAATATGTATTTCTTGACATCGACATATAAGGAATATCATTATGTACACAATTTATATATCATATATTTAAAAAACAATTCCCTATTTTGCTTCACACCCCTTTATGAATTGTCAAAACGACATTTAAAACATACACATTTTAAACACATGCATCATTAACAGTAAACCAGACATGTAAGCATTGTGGGTATTTATATGACAATTGTTTAAATTACCCGATCCAGGAAAGTAAACTTTTGTACATCTTCATGACGAAACGAAAAAAATAATTAGATAAAGATAAGTATATACATATTACAAAATTATAAAACAATTCCTGTTTATAATAGCACACCCAATGCGAAATAAGACGTAAAAAAATATAATGGAATACTAAATAATACTTTTTTACCTTCTGGTATAATGAGTAAACGTATGGATTTGACGTGCAATATTCAAGATCAAAGGTCTTTAAAACAATACAAAATATGAGAAAAGCAAACACGGACCTCCAAAACATCAGAGGTGGGATCACGTGACATGGACGAGTGAGGAAAACACACATAATAATTCATAACAGGTATGGATTTAACTTCATGAAACTCGCATGCATTTCTAGCATAATAATGTTTTTCTCACTAATTTTACTATAATAATTTTTTTTCTCACTTAATATTTACGCCTATAGAAAAACGAAAAGAATGACTAATTTCTCAATTAAATTCCTCAAGAATCAAAGGCTCTTATCAATCCATAAATATATCAATTTTGTATTGCTTTATCCCCTCTTTTAACTCTTATAAAATTCAATTTAAGAAATCAAAATCTATTTTATACGTAAAGTACAAATAATTTCTATGTTCCATAGCGTATAAAATTTTATTTAAACCTTTCAAATTGCTTATATTTTTAGAAAATGATATTCATACTGAGGAAAGTCATTTCCTTTTTCTGAGTTTCACTCAACCTTTAGAGGCGAGTAATGTCTATCTTGATCAGGCCATAACTCTTCATATTGGTTATTCTCATGCCCACTGTTATTCTGATAATCTGTTAGATTTTGTTCTGTGTTCTCAGCCAAATCCTCGTACGTCTGAGGGGGAAGACTCGGCCCTTGTGCTTTTCTTGTGACGTCATCAACATCGTCATATTCTTTGCTCATAGATTTGAGATCATGAGTTGATTGTTGTTGATTGAAAGAGTTTGATATAATAGCTATGGAATAAGAGATTTTTATGATATTTAGTTTTGAAAGCTTTATTTTAATGTGTGTAAGATAAACTTGATTGAAGCTATCTGAAGATTGAAGATTGAAGCTATCTGGAACTTGTCCAAAAACTTCGGTTTTAGTTTCCTGTATGGAAAACGTAATATAAAAAGCATGGTTACTGTCTTGAGTACATGTATAAACAATATTTGAGCGAGGGTAAGAAAACGTGATAGAGTGCGAGGCTTGCCGAGTCCTCTTACGTTTTCGACCCAACCTCATATATTGCGTATAATTCAAGACAGTGACCATGTTTATTTTTGTTTATCCTGCAACATATTTTTACATTTAATTGAACGTCAAAAAACAAGCTTTTTTCGACAGATTTAGGCGCATATCTGCAGTTGAAACTATGACGCCATGGCGTAAACATTGCAATTTACCTGACGTCACAATGCTTTTTAAACGTCAGAATACATGCACAAGGCTTTATTAGGGCAGTGACTGAATAAAGCTTTGGTTTATTAGGTTTCCTTTATTAGGTCAATGCAAGGGGTAGTTGAAAGATAAAAGATAACTTTTTTTAACTAAACTAGATTGATCATATTTCCGGGCGGGTGGTGATATTTTACTGTCTCAATATTTTAGTAAATATTTTTCTAATTAAATTTCTCATTGACCCCTATAAACATTCTTAGAAGATGTAATAAACAAAACAAATTTTATTATCACATTTCTGTTAATACTCGTTGGAAAAGGTTCATTTGCTGTATATGTATTGATTGCTTTTTAAAGAGAATACTAATGTTAATGAGAATGATTTCAATGATATATAACTGCATTCGTCTTCGATTGTTATAGTAAACAATATACATGTAAAGTCATAGAGTTTTACGTCTAGAGTACCGGTCTGACAGCAGCTAAGAAGGGAAATGAGGAATTAAATGAAAGATTTACCTCTATGGCGAGCAAATTTATAAACACCGAAGTTTGTCAACAGCAAAACAGATACACCTGCCAGAACTCCAACGACGATAATGATGTTCTGCGTAGAGGGCGCAGAGATCGTGAATTTATTTCCATCTGTAATTATTTTTATCTTTAGCTTTATGAGAGAGCAGTAAGCAGAATATACGAATCAGGTTAAATTAGAAATTTGCGGTGAAAAGGTTCAATTTGAAATTTATTGCATATTTGTTTCATTTTGGATAACTTAAATATACAATAAAAAGTAATTTTCAAGCTCGCTAGCAATTAATAAATCAAAATTAGAATTTACCCTTACTGCAACATTTTTATTTTCTGATATAATAGGTTTACTAACCGTTTCTGTCCGGAAAATCAAGTTAATTTTCTTAGTTTTCTTTCCTTGGCACAGATTAAATGATCTTTCCTTGGATTGTTTTAATTAGTTATTATTATTTCTCTTGTTTTTAAAGCAGACGTATATCTAAATCACCTATAAATTTCAACAGTGGGGAGCATACTAATTGTAGCTTATAAAGGGCATTGCGATTCTTTACAGATTCTCGTTTCTATGTATTATATGTTGAAGAAAAAGCGCCGATCATTTTTTTTCTTTTTTTTTGTTATTGTTGTTGTTGTTGTTGTTTAACTGTCTCAAATATAGAATTTTATAGAACGGCTTAGACTAAAACATAGTTCTGCTAAGAATATTTTAAATTCATATCACATAAAAAGCGATAATTTCAAAGGGCGTGTAGAATGATACTTAAATGCTTGCAATCTGAAAGAATATCATTTAGTTTGCAGAATTTGACAATTGATTGAAGTTATTGGTCTTTCCCTACGTAATATTGCAAAACAGGCCTCAGTTTCGAAGTCGACAGCTTAAAACTTCTAGAGCTTCTGTTGAAAAACTTATTATGTGTCATTGATCACAATATCTATTTCTGAAGACATTTACATTACTCTCTAAATCACTAGAACCTTATATTTGCAATTATATGGCAGCATCAGTTAAGTACGAAAATGATTTCTGGCTTCATGTTAATACTACCCTTTCCATACGAACGAACTAATAACAACTAAAACAGAATACAGATACAAAAAAGGATAATATATGTACATGCAATTATTTTCAAATACAAACGTGGAATCCATGAAAAGTGATAGCCAGTTTACATTATGGCTTTATTTTTTTCTACTTCATAAGATTAAAAGGAACATCAATGAAAAGCCTTCGGCTCAAGAACATTATAAATGCAACTCTTATTTTTTTTTAATCAATTACTGTGAACCTTCTGAAAAAAATAGAAATCAATTAGGTTAAATTTATTCATTTTACTTATATAAACATTAATTAAGTTGTCCTTTTCAGCAATTTTTTTTAAACTTATTTTTCTTCCTTCCTTAGGCAGATAAAATTATAAAAAGAAGAGTTAATCATTTTCTAATACACATGTACCTTGAAAAGTTACTTTTTCTTCTGCAGGCCTTTTGGAGCAGCCAATAACATTACAGCTCTCCAAACGATAGGAGTATTCGTGTCCAGGGGATAATGGTCCTAGGTCATAATATCCTATGTTTCCTTCACCAGGGTCTGCCAGATTTGTAACGTTTATCCAACTCGATCCATGTTTGAGTGTTAAGATAAAAAATTGTTCTGCTCCTCCATTAAAGTTTGCAACCCAGGTAAAGTTAATATATTTACTGTTGTAATAAAATCCGGTAAAGTTCAAAGGTGGTTGAGGTTTATCTTTGAAAGTAAAGAAAATATTATTGTCTTTTCATATGAAATTTCGAACAAATTTTGTCTTGATTAAAACACATATTCCTAAATATGTATAGATACAGATAAGACATACCAAATCAATAATTAGAATAGTGATACAGGATGCCAAATGATAAAATAAGTAAGACTGAAAAAAAACTGTAAATGAAAAACATTAGCAACCAATTGAACTAATAAAATACAAGGCAATGTATTCATATATATCCATTCCCACAAATATTTTTAATCAAAACCTGGATTGTTGATTTGTATATCCACGATGACTTTTCCTTTGTAATAGAGTGTGTAATTTCCTAAAGATCTCTGATCAGGAACAGGAATGGTGCTGTTGATCCAGTGTTTGTAGAAATCGTTATCTCTTTGTGAAATTTTAATCAAGATTTGTTCAGTTGGGGGTCCTGTCCAAATGAACCCTGATGTAGATGGTAGCGGATTTCCAAGAACAGGCAAATTCACAGCAATTGTAACATCAGGGCCAATTATGGTGTAATAGTTGGTTTTCACTAACGTGGGCTCATCAAGACGAGGATCAACTTAATACCAATATATAAAATAGACAATTAATTTCTTCATGAACTACATACTTTAGTAGATAAATGACAAAAAAAATAGGAGAAAAAAAGAAAATTTTGATTATATCATGACGCTATGCTTTATTGGAAACATCATACACAATAAATGCAATCAAGTTCATGTTCATAACACAAATAAATTTGTTTAGTTTTTTTTAAAACTAATTAAGTTTTCAAACAATGCAGTCTGAGAGATTATTTGACAGGAAATGTAACAAAATTAATTGTAAGCGGAAAATTCTGTATTTTTAAATATTATCGCTTTTAATGTTTTTGCAAGGTTTTTTTTCCAGCAGTCAGTAAACGAAACGATTACTTCCTTTTCTTCCAGATTATGTATAAGCATATTTATCCCATACGTGTGTATGATACTACCCCTGAGATAAATCTATGCTTTTTCCACGGATGCATGGTATATGCTTTAACAATAGCACTTGCGGTTTTAACAGATCCCTCCTCTTCGCTTCTCGCTTCAGGATTTAAATTTATCATACTTTGATTTGTAAAAATTCTAATAATAATGAGCAAGAATTTTGTTAAGAGCAGAAAAAAAGAATTGCATACATCAACGAAATGTCACATGTTATCGACGTATCCGCACTAGCTACTAGCTGTAAAGACAGATGTTGATCCCCTCCCTGAATTTACTTGATATACATTATGCCCAACAGTTAAAATGGTGGTGCAAAATTCCATTGACACTTCCATACATTTATCTATTTATTCATTATAATAATTTATAGTTACCAAGGATCTTCAATGCACAAGTGGGTTAGGGAGGTCTAGCCTTGCACCGTTCTAAGAATGACATCAACGTAAAATACATGATTCCTCGGTCAGTACAACTTTCAGTCAAAAGTTTGAAATAAACCTCCAACAGATTGCAAAAATATTTTAAAAGACACAGATCGTAAAGATCCGAAAAAAACATAAACAATGCTACACCATCAATTTTTGATTTGTCAATTTGAACAGAAATCATTTATAGTTTCAAAGAGGTTATCTCAAACTTATTTTTCAAAAATCATATGAGATAGATAGAACATCTACATGTATAATTGTATGATTTGATATTTACTTTATCCAACTCATTGAAATGGTGTATATTTGCTCGACAAGCCTCGTGAATATACTCAATTCCAACTCGTTAAAGAAAGCCAATATCAAATCACACAATATAGACATACTCAATAGTATTTCATGGATTGCGATTAGATCAATAATTTCTGCCTCTTGTTGTTTGAATTTACTGCCGAGTCTTATTACAAAAATTGTTATCTCAATATCCTTATGTAGATAATAAGCACCGCCCTCTTATTTACCTAGTCTGTATTCCCCCTTTAATCAAGTGAATTAAGATCAATTATTGGATATGTGAACCCAACATTTCTTGCTACCTGAGATTTTATCTCCTTACCATGTGTTATAAAAAAAGTGTTGAATAAAATACACATGTTTGTAACAAATTTATATTTTGTTGTTAGTTGTTTTATTATTACATAAATTAACTTAGAATACACTCACATATATACAATTTTTAGGTCAAGATCTAGTAAATGAAAGATGCCTACACTTTCAAATTTGAGAAATAAACTCCTTAAACCCTTTCTCTTCCGGCACATTTTAGGTGATTTTGGATACCTTTTGATATGACATTATTAAATTATTTCAAACTTTTTTATTCAAGGAGAAAGCTAGGTATATTGCATACCATTTTGTAGGGAATGTCATAGAGATGATATTTTATGACTATTCAGATACTTAACAACTGACCTTATTAGTAAAAATGGAGGTCAAAGGTCAATTAAGTGCAAAATTTTATGGAATTTTTTGATACTTTTTAATCTTCAAGCTAATTATTTACTATGATGTATGTTGAAATAGGAAATTTTGGATGTACTCACAAAAGAGCATGAAACTGTACTACATGGAACACATAAACTTTTTCTTCAATTCTGCAAATAACTACTTAAAAGCGGTTGCTTAGCAACCCAGAATTTTTTAATTTTCGGGCAAGAATTTTCGTGTATTACTCATTCTAGACACATTTATGCATCCCAGCACATATTAAAGTTAGATGTGAGGTCATAAAATTACAAGCGACAAACAACAGATAAATTGTCTTAAAGTTTGACCTCATTAGAACTATTTTTAGGAGGTCAAAGGTCAAATAAGTGCAAAAGTTTCATCAATTTTTTTCAACACTTTTCAATATTCTTGCCATAATTTACACAATGGATGCTGAAATGGAAAATTCTGAATATACTCTCAAGAAGGGATCAGAACTGCAATATCCATGCATCATTTTAGTTCGAATATCTAATTAATGACCTTTAAGTGGTTGCTAAGCAACAACTTTTTAAAGTTTTTGGCTAGTATATACATGTTTGTTATTTCACATTCTGGACACATTCTCGACACTTTTTGTATATTTCATGATATTGTATGCAAGATATGGGCCATGAAGATGAAAGAACATTTTTGTATTAAAAATTGACCTTGACACTCTTGTTCTTCAGGGGGTCAAGGTCATATCAGTACAGATTTCTGCTTTAAATTGTAAGTAAATATCAATTTTGAAATGCTTCAATCATGGATAAATCATCTAATAAGTTGACGTGATAAGAATGGTAAACGACAAAATTTGCAAGCAAAGAATTCTGGTCTGCTTCGTACAAACTCCTAGCAAAACATGTATACAATCTTATTGTTAAACAAAAAAATCCATTCTCTTGATGACATTAAAAATAATCTTTATTTTCATGGATTTAATCTAACAAGAAAAAATAATTAAACTAAATGATTTCATTACAAGATTTTTCTGGTATAACAGAGCTTAAGGGGTACAATAAAGACTTGACATGTTATCTTGGAGGGAAATAATAATACTAGATAGCATTGGCAATATTTAACACAAAACTGTTTAGTCAATAAGTTGAAATTGTGACGTTTATATCCAAATATACAAAACCAGAAATATTGCAAGATGAATTTCAAATCAGACTGATTAAATCTTCAACAAAATGTTGAAGAGCACTTTTACTTTGTGTCCACCATTCTTTTATCAACTGTCATTTCTCTGTAAGACTGGAGGAAATTCTTTGACTTGTCCAAGATATTATTATTATTTGCTGTCCAGTGCAAGTGATCAGCCTCTATCCTGTAAAAGATTTAAATGTTTTGAAACAGATACATGTCCTTGTGTATATGAATTTACATTAAATAAAATTAAGAATGCTAAAACTACTAAATTTATTAAATTTTCCTTTTAAAATTAAAATTGCATTTATTATGTGATTCAAGTACCGGTAGTTAAATGATATTGAACTGTCAATGTATCAGGACTGATAATTCAACAACCTTGTAGTAAACTATCATGGTAAAATTACTGTGAACTAAAACAAGCATATATGGCAATATGACTAAAGCCTCTGTTTACGCTATCGCAACATATAAAAAATTCTGGCAGTGGATGGAAGATCTAATTTTCATTAGATAATTGCTACAAAAGCCATGAGGGGACACATCAATTTTTCAAAAAAGTAAAAAATGAGATCTCGAATTAGACAATCCAATCCCACGGATTACTAAATCGTTCCCTCGATTTATAATTCGAGATATCGAGTTACACAATCTGATCTTACAGATTACTAATTTGCCCCCTTGATTCATAATTTGAGATCTCGAATTACATACTGGTAATTCGTTTTCACAGATTAATAATTCGAGATCTCGATTTGTTATCCGTGCTCTTGAATTTCATTACGTATATGCACAGATACATCCAACCATTTTAATCAGTTTGTGCATTCTATTTATTTTGTTTCAGCAACTGGTCATTTCCAACCTCTTTTGTATATAATTCAACGTATATTTATTTTAGAAATACTATGATTACACAGGGCCCATATTCACTTTTTCAATTATTCTAATATACACGTAACACAAAAACTTCTAAGATTTTTTGTTGTACAAATATCAGTACTAGCATATGGATTTGAAAATGTTTATGTATTTTTTTTTATTTTGGACCGTAATATGTAATAAAAGGTAGGATGTAAAATACTACAGTATTTTATTCTTTAAACATGTATTACCATATCCGATATGTACAGATAAATAATTTTAATGAAATCATGGGAAGGGTTTACATTCCGAGGGAACGAATCATTTAAACTAAGAGAATGAATTATACAATTTGAGATAACGGATTGTGTAATTTGAGGGAACAAATTGATAAACTGTGAGAGTGAATTGGCATTTTGTTGTAACAGATTGTCAATCCGAGAGAACAGATTGTATAAATCGAGAACTCGGTTTACTTTTATAAATTTTTAAAAATTCTATGTCCCTTCATGGCTTTCATAGATTGCATACCTGCATGGCTGCCAGGGTTGTAAAAAGAAAGGAGACAATAGACTGTAATGTTACTTCAGGTAGGGCTGTGCAATATTACCGGTATATCGGTATATTGCGGTATTATCCACCACGATAATATATCGCGATATGAAAATCAGACACCGGTATTTCACGATATTTATAAAAATATATAAAAACCTCTTTTATTGTAGAAACTGCTGAAATAATACTTGTAACCTCCCCAGGCCTTTTCAATCTCATTAAAAAATACTTCGTCAGCTTTCAGAAGCAGATAGAGAGAAAAGAGATCTAGAGAGAGAGAGAGAGGAAGCTTTTCATTCACTGTCGCAATTTTAGATATCTCACTTTAAAATAAAATTAATAATTAATAAAAAGACTTTTAAATAAAATTATTAAGAAAGAAAATATATAAAACATTTCTACAGGGTGTATATCATGTGTACTGTGGTTCTCAAAATCTCATGGAATCTACACGATCGACGATGAATGTTAAGTTCAAGATACATATTACAAATAAATGGCCATCCATGTTTTCACTTGATACAGTGTTGCTTTTTATTATTTTTTAACAAGTTTCATGC